CTTCCTTCCTTCCTTTCTTTCTTTCTTTCTTTCTTTCTTTCTTTCTTTCTTTCTTTCTTTCTTTCTTCTTTCTTTTTTGTGTGTTAGCACATAACTCATAACACATGTGGAGGTCAAAGGACAATTTTTGGGAACTGTCTTTCTCTTTCCACTATTTGAATCCTGTGGATCCAACTTAGATCATAGGCTTGGCTGCAAATGCCTCCACACCCTGAGCCATCTCACTGGCCTCAAATTTGACTTTTTATGTGGATACTGAGGATCGATCCTGGGTCTTTGTGTTTGCCAGGCAAACACTTTAGCGATGAAGCCATCTTCCCAGCCCACACTTTCCTTTCTGATTGAACTTGAGGCCCACTCAATAAGAGGGAATTCATGCTTACCATTCTGGTCAGACTACCATGGCTGTGGAAGTTGTAGGCTCTAGGGTAGAAGCTACTATTGTTCTATTGCTTTTTTTGTTTGTTTTTTGTTTTGTTTTGTTTTGCTAGACAGTCCTGTTGTCAATTGCCTTCTAAACATTTATGTTCATATTTATAGATTTGTATTGCTGTCTAGTTTGGTTAATTAAGCTGTTTTTTTTTTCTCCCAGCAAGAAACAGTTAATGTACATACAACTGGTCCAAGAGCTGAGAATAAATGATTGTGAATTATCAGAACTAAGTGGGGCATATACCTCAAGTCTTCACCCCTAAGGCTCAGACAACATTCCAGAAGAGGGGAAAGGGAGAATGTAAGATGCAGAGAACGAGTTCTGTGTAATGTTGTCTTTTGGAAACAACATGGCCATTGTACTCCTGAACTTAACACAGCTGTGGTTATCTGCCCAATACCCAAAGAAGAACAAACTCAGAAATATTCTAGCACAAACCAGGGAGGGATCGACCCCATCATCTCCCTACTAGCTAAGGAGCTATTGGTTTCTGGGGAGGGAGAGTCATTTTTGGTTAAGGAGTGTGACCACTAATAGGTTGTTCATGCTTCACTGATGCTTCTCTACCCATGTGCATGTACCCATGGGCTACATGAATTAGTTAGGCCCAGTGGGTTTTTGATAAGAAAAAAAGCAAAAGAAGAGGACATGGAGTTGAGAGAGGATGCTGTTTGGAGTTGCCTGAGTGGTACTAGAAATAGTATAACAGGGGGATATGTTAAAAATGCATTAAAGACATGTTTGACATTCTTGGAGGATAAATTTTTAAAAAATGTGTATTTGTATGTGTGTGTGTGTGTGTGTGTGTGTGTGTGTGTGTGTGTGTATAAAGATTCATTTGGAAATCATCACCAAAGTACATGTTTAGAAAGGACATTCATCTTCTATTTAAGTACTTACCAGGCCTAGCCTTGTTTAGTGTCTAAGCTTTAGCATGTTTAAGGTGGTATGGCCTAAGG